TTGGAGGAAGTTTATAACAACATAAAATATATATCAAGCAAACGGCGTCGTTTTTTGCCCCCAATTGAAAAAAAAAACAAAATAAAACAAAAATGTTACAGTAAAGATGGATCAAGACACTGTTGCTTTTTACAGTGCCCTCACATTCCCCTTTCTATATAGTAGGGAAATAATATTTAGATGGTTAACATGGTGGGTGACGGGGCTCCATATATCACCCTAATTAATTTTTAAAAATATAGGGAATTTAATCCCTATTTTAGCTAGCAATGTTTAATTATCAATTGTTAATAAAGAGAACAAATAATATATAGGAATTCATTTGATTGAAAAATCTTCTGATTCTTCATTTAATATCCATTTTTTTCACATCATTATTGATCCAGTGATGGTCCAACTGGTCGTGTCAAATAATAAAATCAAATTGAACTTTTGGTTTAATATAATATATAATTCAATTATTTAATCTCGAAGAATATGATTAAATATTTTATAATCATATATAATTCAAGTAGTCAAACTAATCAATGTTCTAACAACATTAGTTATATATTTTCCTTCAGTGATAAACATAAATTCAAAATAATATATATTTGCGAAACATGTGCTACTTTAAAAGCACGTTATATATTTTTTATTATTACTGTTCATTCAAAAGCAATATGTCAATATTCTTCTAAAATATTGAAAATTATAATTCAAGTTATTTGGGAGCAGTCAAATATTATTATAATAAATTATACAATAATTTACTTTTCAAGTGTAAAAATATAATTTAGATTAGATTATATGTAATTATATTTTTCGAGAGCAAGTAAAATCTAACTAGAATATTAATGAAAATTATAATGTGCTATTTTGAGATCACAATATATTTTACTATTACTTCTTTAAAAGCAATAGATCAATATATTTCTAAAATATGAAAATTTTTAATATCATGCTCTATAGGAGCAATAACATATTATTATTTAGAATAATAATTATGTAAGGATTTACTTTTCAAAAGTAAAAACATAATTTTATATTAGATTTTATATCATTATGTTTTTCAAAAGTAATAAAATTTAATCAGAACAACAATATTTAAATACGTATGCAAAAGAATGGACACGTAAATAAATAGAAAAATTTATTTCTTGATTTAAATAGAATTAATCAATATTCTTCAGGAATATTGAAATTTATAATAACTACTCTTTTTAAAAAATTAATAACATTGTGTTTCTTCAAGAACACCAACACAAATTTTTTATTTTTATTTTAAATTGTACTTTCATAAGGCACACAACAGACATATAATCTTCAAGAGTATATATACAATATTCTTTTAGAATACTGATATTAATGATTTGTTCTATCTTTTAAGCTAAATAATAAAATTTGTGCCCTACATGAATAACAATGGAATATTCTTCTGGAATATTTATATAACATGTGTTGTGTTTCTTCGAGAACATCAATATCGTATTCATTTAAAATAACTATAATTTAAATTATGTTTTTTCAGGAGCATTGAGTCAAAATATTCTTTTGGAATATTAAATTTGTAATATCATACTCTTTATAAGTAAGTAATATTCTTCTAAAATATTAATAATGTTATGCTACTTCAAGAGTAACAACGAACTATTTATAATTGATAGATATACAATTAAAATTCTTCTGGAATATTAATTATAATGTTGTGTTACTTTTGGAACAATAAGATGATAAATTCTTGATTTGAAGTTCATAAAATAATTACTAAAAATACTTAATTGCCGTATAAACATGATATGAATTTACATACAAGAATTAATCACAAAAAATGTAAAAAATAATTACCAAATAGATAATATATGAATTTATATTTTAAAATTGATTACCAAACATGTATTAGGAAAAAATATCTCCATACATAGAAGTTAACAAAATTGGCTAAATATTTTACCTACATGCAAAATATACTAAACATGCATGCGAATTTTACATATTTAGAAATTAAAGATAGCACTAATATGTAACAGATTTAAAAGACAAAATTAATACTAAATAATATGTGAAAAAAAGATCGTGGATGAATAAAAAAAACGTAAATTAATATGTATTCAAACTACATGTGCAAACATGAATTAGAATTAATATGCATGCCGATAAAAAGTAGAGAAGAAGAAGTAACCTCGTTATGATGCATATGTATATTGAAATATTTCACATGTTACCAAATTAATTTTGGTATACGTGATAAATATTCATGCATAT